CTGAAACTGGGGATATACGTATGCGACGATCGCATCCGATGATCAATAATTATAATGAATATATCATATCAGCATGTCGTTCTAACATGGACATCAAGTTTATTTGGACAGGCAGCGATGCGAAAGCTCTGGTCTATTATATTACCGACTATGTAACAAAATCCAGTCTTTCTTTTCACGATATATTTTCTCTTATCCAAAAAAATGTCACATCATTAGGAGACATGTCAAACCAAACGGATGGTACAGAGAGTGCCACTGAAAGATCAAGTAAATTTGTTTTACGTTGCTATAATACACTTGCGTCTCAACAAGAGTTATCTGGAGCGCAAGGTGCTTCTTATCTTATGAATTGGGACGATCACTATACGACACACAAATACCAAGGACTTTATTTGATTCAAACTGAACGATACTTACAGACAGAATTGAATGATCTACGTGTCAAACGAAATTTAGAAAGAGATTCATATGGTAACAGTATGACTCTTTCGTCATGTGTCTCTCCTATACTTGCATTTTTTTTTCATATGAGAATTCTTCTTCTTTTATCTTCATGTGCCAAGAGAGAGAGGAGGAGAGAGGGAGAAAGAAGGGAAAAGGAAGCGAGAAAAGAATCAATCAAGACATAATGTACATGTCGTGATGAGTGAGAGAATGGGAAGAAAGAGAAGAAACACTTGTTATATAAACAATCAATGAGAATGAGAGAAAGCAAAACAAGATATAACGAGATATACTTAACATGGTAACCAGCTGTGCTAAAGCATTGTTGCTACATCAAATATGTCACGTAGATAAGTGACACGGAATAAACCTAGCTATTCCAATATAATTTTTCTCTTATTGACGGGAACGTGAAGGAATATGATCAGAAAAATCAAATCAACAAAAAGTATCTTATCCTTTTTCACACATAGATGCAATGGATGATGATGATAATGAAGAAAATTTTCAAATTCAATCTGTCGAAATGAAAATGGAAACGATTTCGTGCTAGTTAACGGAAGGATTGATTATCAGTATCGATCAGGAACTCTCGATAATGTGTGCTTATACGGTTTTGTTAGCGCATTTTATAAAAAAAAGATTAACGCGTCTGATTTAAAATATGTAGCTGATAGCTCTATAGGAAGAGAAGAGCAGGATAATCGCAGAGGTCGACCACCTAATTAACGATTTCCTTTTCAAAAACAACATCCTCAAGCAACAACCTACCTAATGATGAAACATATTGAACATCGTGTACCAATCCTCTATGGTCCTCAAATACCTCGGCGGGATCGTGAAGACACNTATAATACACTTGCGTCTCAACAAGAGTTATCTGGAGCGCAAGTTGCTTCGTATCTTATGAATTGGGACGATCATTATACGACACACAAATTCCAAGGACTTTATTTAATTCAAACTGAAAGATACTTACAGACAGAATTGAATGAATTACGTGTCAAACGAAATTTAGAAAGAGATTCATATGGTAACAATATGACTGTTTCGTCATTTGTCTCTCTTATGCTTGCATTTTTTTTTCATATGAGAATTCTTCTTCTTTTATCTTCAGATGCCAAGAGAGAGATAGAGAGAGGAGAGAAGGTGGAAGAGAGGGAGAAAGAAAAGAGAAAAGAAGAGAGAAAAGAAGAGAGAAAAAAATCAATCAAGACATAATATACATGCTGCGATGAGCGGGAGAACGGAAGAAAGAGAAGAAACATTTGTTATATAAACAATTAATGAGAGTGAGAGGAAGGAAAAGAATAACATACGGTCATCACATAAGAAGACATAATGAGATATACTTAACATGTTATCCAACTGTCCTAAAGCATTGTTGCTACATCGAATATATCACGTAGATAAGTGACACGGACTGAACGGAGCTATTTCAATATAATTCTTCTCTTATTGATGGGAATGTGAAGGAATATGATGATCATGAAAATCAAATCAACAAAAGCTATCTTATCTTTTTTCACACATAGATGCCATGGATTATGATGAACGCAATGATAATGTGCACAACGATGGAAATGATAATGAAGAAAATTTTCAAATTCAATCTGTCGAAAATGGAAACGATTTCGTGCTAGTTAACGGAAGGATTGATTATCAGTATCGCTCAGGAACTCTCGATAATGTGTGCTTATACGATTTTGTTAGCGCATTTTATAAAAAAAAGATTAACGCGTCTGATTTAAAATATGTAGCTGATAGCTCTATAGGAAGAGAAGAGCAGGATAATCGCAGAGGTCGACCACCTAATCAACGATTTCCTTTTCAAAAACAACATCCTCAAGCAACAACCTACCTAATGATGAAACATATTGAACATCGTGTACCAATCCTCTATGGTCCTCAAATACCTCGGCGGGATCGTGAAGACACTCAAGAACGATATTGTCGAGCTATTCTTACACTTTTTGTGCCTTGGCGAAATGTATCTGATCTTTGCGATGTCAACCAGAAATGGGAAGACGCACTTAGCTCTCGTCAGCATCATATATCTGGGCACTCGCAGAATATCATCGATAATATTCAAATTTTACATGAGTGTAAGAAAGATAGAGATGAACACTTAGTGAAAGTGATTACAGAAGCTCAAGTTGAGAACGACACAATCGAGCCCGAACTGTTTCCAAAAAATCAAAGTTCATACGATGAATACGATGATACAAGTGACAGCGAAGATTTACTTGAATTGCTCGGTAATTTAAACGATTCTACTACAGTTGCAATGAACAGCATGANTTCTTGTATAATTAAACATTTTCTCTATTAGTTGGTTGTTTTGTAATCAAAATCCAAATTTTGTTTTCAATTTTACCGTAACTATAATGTTTTGTTCCACGCTTCTTACTCGTACTCGCATATGCTTTATTCATATTTTGACTTCTTTAGAGATTTAGTTAGAATTAATACAAAAAATTATTTGTTTGCTTTCTTTCATGTAGTTGTTTATTATATCATTAATTTGTCTTTATTTCATTGAAAACAAATAAATAAACTTCATATTGGAAAACATTTTCTCTTATATGAAATGAAAAAAAATAACAAATTTATTATTACATATGAATCTTTTCAGTCGAGGGTAATGCGAGTCCGTCTCGACGAGCGTTATTTATTTTTTATTATTCATATTTTTTCTGTAAGATTTACAATCGTTTTTTTAAAATCAAATAATTTGTTTTATTTTGTGAATAGGCACCATTTTATATTTATATTTGTGTATCAAAACGATTTCGTCAACAATTCTTATATGTATGTACTCGTCTATGCGGAAATTATTGTTTAAAACTAAAAATAATAAAGAATCAAATTAATTCAGAAATTGAAATTAATTGAATAGAGAAGAAAACTATTATTTATTCATGTTGTCTTCTCTTTTGTTTTTAATCATTTCAAAATAAATCAAGTTTAACTTTGAAATATTTTCATAGTTTAAAAATTTTCCGGACTTCCTATAATAATTCTCCTACTTGATGAGTAATCAACCTTCGGAAATATTGAAATTAATCGAAAGAAATAATTTTTCAAAGACCTTCTAAAAATACTAAAAACTGCTCAATGGATTTGTTATTAGTTTTTCCAGTTATGTGAAAATTTTTATTCGTTTTGGAGAAAAATTCAATTTTTTATGTATGAAGAATTTGTACGTTTCTTATTATTAGAAAGATAAAAAAATGCGTTGAATTGTTCTATATTATCATTCATGACGTTAATATTATAATTCAGAATACTTTTCATTGGGTTCAGAGACTAGGAGAACTAGATCGAAGAGTTATTAGGCCCAAAAGAATAAAACGATGTCACGAATAGATTATTTTGTTTTTTTTCTATTAAAAATATTTGAAAAGTCGAACTATTTCGTAATTTTCTTTAGGTTACTTTCAATTCTAAAACTGATTTTGTATAAACTGTCGATAACCATTATGAAAAGTGTTGCTTTATTAAATTTCCTAGTTGTGAGATTTGTTTTTTTTGCCAAAAATCAACTGGAAATATTAAAGACCATAAAGTCTCTAAGTAGTGAAATTGATAAGATTTGGATCATTTTCAATAACACAATTTCAAGTCTAGTATTGATCCGAATATGTTAGTAAAGTCAATTTATCATGTCAAATCAGGAAAAAAGTAGTTTCAGCGTCAAAAGTAAAGAATAAGGCGGAATATTTTGCACGTTTTGTAAGAAAATTCACTTTTCTCTAAAAATTTATTGGATATTTTCCGACCGAAAGACAGCTTTTTGCCAAGATTAAAAAGTGCATATTATCGTCTCAGTATCTAAAACATTGCTTAAACTTTAAATAATAAGGAACAAGTCATGTTTCCTCTCGTTCTAGATATTATGAATGATCTATGAGAATTGTACTTCTAGAAATCAGGAAAAACCATGCAATTCATATGAAATATTCCCTCTACTGAAAGGGGGGTATGTACGTGTTATAGGCGACATCGCTCTCATATACATATACATTTATTTTCTCTCTCTCTGCCTAGATCAATTGTTATACCTTCTATCTCCCTAGATCTTTTGTATTAGTGATATCTTTCTTTGTTTCTGTGATATCTATTCACTCTTCTTTGTATGTGTGCATATAAATATGTACGTGTGATAGCGTGAAGGGAGAGCAACGAGAGGAGTGTTTTTCCACGCGTGTAATTCTTTTCATTTTCCACAATAAACTAAGAAGTATCGAAACACGAATCTCTTGTCTCTAATAGTACGCAAAGTAGTTAATGTTCGTTCGATTACAAAACTATCTGTGTGACAAGGGATATCGTACTTTGAAAAGCTGTTCTAGAGGGTGTCTGGTATTTGGGTTACAGCTCTTCAACAAGACGTCCTAGAACTGCTTATTACACAAGTCCTTAAAGTTTCGAACGATTTGGAGAGTGTCGGTGTAAACGTGTCACAAGTCCCATGGAATCATCCTTTACATCATTTATGCTATCGATACTTGTTTTTGTGATCTTTGTCGTTTCTTCGGATCTTTATATGAAAACATTCAAAGAATCATTCAAGAAATGGCAATATCGAACACGTCAGCGATGAGACTTATAATGTTCACATTAAATACGTATCTTGAGAGAGATCAAATTGAAAGATTCATTGGAACTAATAAAATGTTTTGAATTTTAAAAAAAAGATTGAATTCAACTTTTGAGCGTTACTTTTATGGTATTTCTCTACCTTACCTATTGACGCAGCACATATTGCTGTATTCTTTTCTTTATTTTATCTTTTATTACAAATATAAAAGAGAAAGAGCATTTTCAGCACATCGAAACTTCATTGAAAGAGAAAATAATATTAAGACTTGTTTCTCTTTAATTAATATGTATGTGTCAATTTCATCTGAGGAGAACACTATTAAGCATTTAATCTTCTTTTCTATAACATTTTTTAGTGTTTATATATACATAGCTTACAGTAGATAGCTGCTCTGCAATATTCGAAATATTAACTTAGTATCATAATCTGTACGTCTTAAACTTGGTAAAACGACCACGTCGCATCATATTAGCAGCGGGAATTAGAAGAAAAAATTCTGTATTATTATTTTAAAAATAAGCAACGTTTGAATCATGTGAAATTTGTTAGCACAGCATTTTTTGAAAACTAACATAAATTAAAAAAAAACAATTATTTCTCTTATGGATTGGCGAGTTGAAAAATTTCACTATTATTTAATTCTCGTGAATAAACACGAAATTCATCAATAGATCCATTATAAACATTGGAAATAATTGATTGTGAATTACACGAAATATTTCCAATAGAATTTCCTAATATTAATGTAGTTACTTGTTCTGAACCAATATAATTTAAATTAGAATTTGTACTATTAATTAATGTTCCATTAACATATAATTGTAATCCATTTATTCTTGAATAAGTATAAACAACATGTGACCAAACATTATTTGGTAAAATAGGACCAATAATTTCTTCTAATGATCCATTCCAAATTGTTCCAACGATCTGTCCATTAGAAGAAAATCCAAGTAAATAGATACACCAATCGTGTCCATTCATTTTTGTTGTTTCTTGAAGAAGAATTGATCCTTGAATTAATTCTGGATAAATCCATAGAGTTATAGAATATGATTTATTGGAAATTCCAAGAAGAATAAATCCATCAATCTACGTAGAAAAAAAAGTCTCTCAAATCTATAGAATAATATAATTTTTTATTTTACTTGATAAAGAGATAAATTTGATTGAAAATGAATCGCTTTATTCATTCGTCCATTTACAAATGTTACATTTGTATATTTTCCTTTGAGATGAAGTGAACTTGAATCATAATATGATTGATAATCAAATGAATGATATGTAACTAATGTTGCATCATCTAATATTTCACTAGCATTTTTTGCTTTCATTTTTAATGATACTTCATCAATGGCACTACAAAAATAGAACTTTATCTTTAAACGAGACTCAATTTAATCTTACCCAGAAAAGTTTCTGGGTGAAATACAGCATGATTCAGCTTTTCCAATAATTATTGCACCTGATGTACCTTTATAAGGTCCAGATGATGTTCTCTTGCAATCAAGTATTCCATCCAGGTAAATTGATTGTTGTAATAATGAATAATCATACACAAAAGCAACATGATACCATGTATTCAGTTGAATCATAGTTGAACTTCGAAGATCATCACTATAAAATCCCATGTAAAGTGAAAAATTTCGAATTATATAATGTAATGTCTGATCTGTAGAGGGACTCTGATGTTGCACAAAAAGTCCATAATCATCATCCATTGATAAATAAGTGCTATAGAACCACATTTCTACTGTAAAACTTGTATAAGACAAGTTTCTATACTTTGATATATTAACATATTGCTCAATTGTTAAATTAAATAATAGAGCTGAACCATAACCATTTATTCCAGGAGTCTGATATATCGGTGAATTAATTGGTATACCATTAAAATTTGATAAACTATCATTTGTATTATTATCAAATGACCAAAAACTGCCGAGATCATATCTTAAATCTATAATTTATAATACATTCTTGATGATAATCAATTGAAAATTCTCGATACATACATTGTTCTGTACTTGTTATAATGTTAAAATTCGATGTTGTTTCTTGATTTGATATTGCAGTTGAAGAACATGTAGGAAAAGATGCTAAAAATTATACTTTTGTATATTTTATTTTTGTAAGATATGAAAAGGATACGTTACGATTATTCTTTTTGCTACAAATAACAGTTGCAGAAATATTTTCTGATGATTTTATTGAATCTTTCTGGCAAATTTCTGCATACATTGAACAAATAGTTGCATCTTTGAAATAAACTGCTGTTTGACAATGATAATCATTATTACATAATCGAATACAATCGTTAATTGATGATTGAGGTGATAAGGTTTTACTATCGAGAAATGAACAAGTAATATTTGATTGATAAATTGTTTTTCGATGAAGTTCAACGATTATAAGAGAATTTATCAAAGGGAAAAATGAAGAAATTAAAATCCAATACATTGTTTATGTTCATGAAATGAATTGTCATCTCAATTTAAATCATTATTAAAAATAGAAACTGCATGGCACCATATTTATATTACTTCCGTAGAAAAATCAACATTACTTTTTTTTCATTAAATAAATACGTATATTGACAACCTAACACAAAGCATTGTCAGGAAGAGCATGATTTCAATTAGTATTGACAAAGTTCCCCTCATTTTTTTGCTTAAAGTTCCAAAAAAGTACATAAAATAATTCAATAATAATAATAATAATAGGAGAATGTGATATGATCAATGCAGATCATACTTTGAGTACATTAACGAACAAGAGATGAGAAAAAAACAATAAAAATCTCTATTATGAATGACAAACATAATTACAACGAATATACTTATAACCATGTTTACGAGCATAAAACTCAATAGGAGAAGATACATAATGACCAAGACCAAGACCATAACCATAACCAGGACCTCGATAAATAGGAGCAAAATAAACAACATCACAAGGACGACAATCAGAACAAAGATTGTGTGACGAAGATGATTGAGTTGTTTGGATGTCTAAATGTAACATGTCTTGACAAATTCAAATCAACCCAGGTTATTTCTCGTCAATTTCAATATAGTTATATGTTTAACAAAAAGTACGACATTGAAGTGACAGAAATCTTACCTTTCATATTGCTATTGATATTTTCCCTAAAAACAACAAAAGACAATAAAGTATATTATGGTAATATATAGATTATCCTATAAATACATGTTAAGCGATAATGGTAAGGATTGATTAAAGTTTGTTCCCTTTTCTGAAAGAAAGGGTTATAGCGTCATAAATATAGTGATGAAAATGCATAAAGTTTGTTTGTCTGTTTGCATAATCCAATCATATTGCAGCATATTATAAATCAATGAAATTTATCTATAGTCATCAAAGATTGACCACTGATGAGGTAAACGAGGTCGAGGATCACGAATCCGAGGTTAGTGTTGATTAATTAATTATTAGTTTTTCATTAACTAGCCACGACTTATTAACATCCATTGTCAGAGTAGACCGAAGGATTTCTGACGTCGGAAAATTCGAACTTGCGGGTGAATTTCGTTTTATTCGCTGAGCCTGGGCTTCTTCCTTCCTCTTTACAAAGGAGATATTTTTCTTCATCTGTTCTAAAATCTTTTGTAGAAGA